CAGACAGGGACAGACAGGGGCAGACAGGAGCAGACAGGGACAGACAGGGGCAGACAGGGACAGACAGGGGCAGTGGGCACACAGAGAGACGATTAGTGACATTCTCGCTCTACAAACTTTCATAAAATCCACACGTTTTTCTGAACAGTTTTTTCCACAAATCGTCTCCACAAACGACTTTTTTTCAAATTCCTCTGATTTGACCGAGATTTTTTTTTAAAAATGAAAACTTCAGGTTCTTCGTTTTGTTTTCAGATTTATTTTCATCTCACTCGTTCTGAGACGTTTTCGTGCTCGTCTAGAGGTCGTTTATTTTAAGAAAACTCATCAAGTAAAACGGATCTCGCCGCGTGGACACATCGTTTCTCTACTTTTAAGTCATTTTCTGATCGATTTAAACGTTTATGTCTTAAATTTTGGCCAAACTTTTTTGCCGAGCACAATTTCGAACTCAATTTTGACTTTGAGGAGAAAAAAACATTGGACCTTCTTTATTTTAATTCTGTTTTTGTGGATAAAAAATGTACTTAAAATGTCCAAGTTGAGATCAGAATTTGTAATGTGATGTAATTTTAAAGGTGCACTGTGTAACTTTTCTTATGTCTCCAAAACAATAACATCTCCATGGAGACGACCCATGACCAGAAAAGTTACATAATGCACCTTTAAACGCAGAATAGTCTAGTTTAGTCCTGGTTCGGTCTTGGTTCAGTCCTGGTTTAGTCCTGGTCTTGGTTTAGTCCTGGTTTAGTCCTGGTTCAGTCCTGGTTCGGTCCTGGTTTAGTCCTGGTTTAGTCCTGGTTCAGTCCTGGTCCTGGTTTAGTCAGTCCTGGTTTAGTCCTGGTTTGGTTCAGTCCTGGTTTAGTCTGGTTTGTCCTGGTTCAGTCCTGGTTTAGTCCTGGTTTAGTCCTGGTTTAGTCCTGGTTTAGTCCTGGTTCAGTCCTGGTTCAGTCCTGGTTTAGTCTGGTTCAGTCCTGGTTTAGTCCTGGTTTAGTCCTGGTTCAGTCCTGGTTCAGTAGTCCTGGTTCAGTCCTGGTTTAGTCCTGGTTTAGTCCTTGGTTTAGTCCTGGTTTAGTCCTGGTGTTCAGTCCTGGTTTAGTCCTGGTTCAGTAGTCCTGGTTTAGTCCTGGTTTAGTCCTGGTTTCCTGGTTTAGTCCTGGTTCCCTGGTTCAGTCCTAGTCAGTCCTGGTTCAGTCCTGGTTTAGTCCTGGTTCAGTCCTGGTTTAGTCTGGCTGGTTTATCCAGATCTGTCTGAGTTTTTTCCAGGTTTTTTCCTGGTTTCTCGTCTCGTCTTGTTTTTGCCAAACGGACGATTCTTTTCACAGACACAGATTCAGACCAAAGAAAAGAACAGAATTTAAAGCTGCAGTGTGTAACTTTTCTGCCAATGTTTCTCAAAAACATGGAACGGGCATTAAACTGTGATGTTTTTCTTCTTTTTGGAAAAAACTGCATTTTTACTTTATATCATTTAGAACGACTAGTCCACTTTTAGTCCTGGTTTAGTTCTAGATTAGACCTGGAATAGTCCTGGTTTAGACCTGGTTTAGACCTGGTTTAGACCTGGTTTAGACTTGGTTTAAACCTGGTTTAGACCTGGTTTAGACCTAGTTTAGTCCTGGTTTAGACCTGGTTTAGACCGGGTTTAGACCTGGTTTAGACCTGACCTGGTTTAGACCTGGTTTAGTAGATTAGACTGGTTTAGTCCTGGTTTAGACCTGGTTTAGACCTGGTTTAGACTTGGTTTAGACCTGGTTTAGACCTGGTTTAGACCTGGTTTAGTCCTGGTTTAGACCTGGTTTAGACTTTAGGGTTTAGACCTGGTTTAGACCTGGTTTTAGACCTGGTTTAGTCCTGGTTTAGACTTGGTTTAGACCTGGTTTAGTCCTGGTTTAGACTTGGTTTAGTTTAGTCCGGGTTTTAGACCTGGTTTAGAGACTTGGTTTAGACCTGGTTTAGACCTGGTTTTCCTGGTTTAGACCTGGTTTAGGGTTTTAGACCTGGTTTTAGACCTGGTTTAGACCTGGTTTAGTCCTGGTTTAGACTTGGTTTAGACCTGGTTTAGTCCTGGTTTAGACCTGGTTTAGTCCTGGTTTAGTCCGGGTTTAGACCTGGTTTAGACCTGGTTTAGACCTTGGTTTAGACCTGGTTTAGACCTGGTTTAGACAAATACAAGGACTGGATGGATTATTTCAAAAGTGTCTCCACACGTCTCAAACAGAATGAGGCCTTATGTCCAAAATTCCAAAGTTTCCCTTTAAAAGACGTAAAAATAGAATTAAAAAAATCTAAACGAGATGAAATAAAAGAGTGAACGATCATCTCAGGATCAGCATTTGATCAAACTGGTCTCAGTTTGGTGATGATAAAAAACCTCTTGAACCTTGAACTCTTGAACCGCAGTGACCCTCCAAAACCACCGATCTGTCCAAAAAACTCACAGATTTCTGACGCTGGAGCCGAGATGATCCTTAATTAGAGGATTTTTTTTTTTTTTAATCTAGAGCCAGAATAAGCGTTTTTCTGTTTTTCCATCATTAAGTTTGCATAACACTTTTCAGAAAGCCAATTTTTTGACCCAAGAGAAGCTCTGCAGAAGTGTTTTTATTCTGTCCTCTCTGTTTTCTGTCGTCGTCATCGTACAAATGATACGACAGACGCTTGAAACTATTTACAATTTGACCAACCGTAAAAATGTGCATCAGAAAAAGAAGTGGCCCCACGACTGATCCTTGCGGGACTCCACATGTCAAAGGTGACACTTCAGACTAGGGATGGGCATGATTAGTTGATTAATCGATAATTGATCATTAAGAATTTCATCGATTACGTTAATTTTTAATGGACAAACCAAATGTAGGTTGCTGTGCGTAGCGTAGGGCGACCAAACGTCCGTGTCCGGGGACAAACGGGGGACAAAGGAGCGAGACACAAACAGTCGGTCGGTCTGCAACGTGCTGAAGCACAAATGTGTATTTAACCATGATTTGTACAAGAAATTCCACACTTTCTGTTCCGAACAAAACAGAACATATGTTTCAGTGTCCAGTGGGAAAAAGTTCACCAGGACACAGAAAACATTAAAAAGTTTTACCAGGTGAGAGTCGCTCAATATCGATGACGAGGCCCCACCCCCCTCCCCCCGTACGGTGTCCTGGTTTTGACAAACACAAATCACAAGAGCTGGAGTTTTATCTTCACTTAGTTTATGTAAATTAGTGATGTGGTTTTAAGTTTTGTTTCTGTGAGATTTGAACAAAACTGAATTAAACACATTATAATGTCAAACAGCTGATGTGGATCTAGAGTCGTTATGTTTATATGTCGTAAAGTTGAATTTATTTATGCAGATTAGTGCAGACTAGTGATGGGCATTCGATGAAATTTTCTTAATCGATCGTCGGAAGAATTAACGATCGATTATCAATTCATCATTAATGTTTTTATATCATTATTATTACTATCTGCACTAATCTGCATAAATAAATTCAACTTTACGACATATAAACATAACGACTCTAGATCCACATCAGCTGTTTGACATTATAATGTGTTTAATTCAGTTTTGTTCAAATCTCACAGAAACAAAACTTAAAACCACATCACTAATTTACATAAACTAAGTGAAGATAAAACTCCAGCTCTTGTGTCGCTGATGTGGTTCAACTTGTGTTGGATTAAAAGACATGACTCAGGTGAATACAGGTCAGTGTGACCAGATTTGTGTTTGTCAAAACCAGGACAGCGTACGGGGGGAGGGGGGCGGGGCCTCGTCATCCACATTGAGCGACTCTCACCTGGAAAAACTTTTTCCCACTGGACACAGAAACATATGTGCTGCTTTATCCACTGTGCACATGGACTCACACTTGTCCCAACGCAACGGAAAGTGTGGAATTTCTTCTACAAATCCTGGTTAAATCCACATTTGTGCTTCGGTTCGTTACAGACTGACCCACTGTTTGTGTCTCGCTCCTTCTGATGCAGAGACACATGTACACACCTGTTTGGTCACGACACACAAACACACATACATTCAGTTTGTCCATTAAAATGAACGTAATCGATGAAATTCTTAATGATCAATTATCGATTAAGCGATTAATCATGCCCATCCCTACTCTAGAGTGTTTAAGTTTATATGTCGTAAAGTTGAATTTATTTCTGCAGATTAGTGCAGATAGTAATAATAATGATGATCATTTTAATATAAAAACTTTAATGATTAATCGAAAATCTAGCCCGTCTCTACTTCAGACACAACATTATCGACAGAAACAGACGATCAATCGACAGAAACAGTGTATTTATATAAAGACTGATTAAACATGTGAGTTTAATCTTGACTTTTTACCGAGAAATAACCAAAAAATACCAAATCTCTGAAAGCTCTCGGAGAAATCACCCTCTAAATAAAACCAAGGACTCGGACGCGTTTTGTTTGACTGGGACGCGAGCGACGAAACTGACGAAAACGTTTAACGGTCTCAGACTTTAGACCCTGCAGCTGTTCTCTGGTCTGACTCTTTGTCCTGACGTGTTTTTGCGGAGGACAAACCTGCAGGCGCTCAGGTCACGGCTGCGTCTGTTTACTGTACACACAACTGATCTTTATGTGCGGGGACAGAAACCCTGCAGGTGTCACGTCAGGACTTAAGAGGCAGGTGAGACAGGTGAGGCGGGTGAGACAGGTGAGACAGGTGAGACAGGTGAGGCAGGTGAGACAGGTGAGACAGGTGAGGCAGGTGAGACAGGAGAGGTGAGACAGGTGAGACAGGTGAGACAGGTGAGACAGGTGAGACAGGTGAGACAGGTGAGGTGAGACAGGGAGACAGGTGAGACAGGTGAGACAGGTGAGAGGTGACAGGTGAGACAGGTGAGACAGGTGAGACAGGTGAGACAGGTGAGACAGGTGAGGTGAGACGGGTGAGACAGGTGAGACAGGTGAGACAGGTGAGGCGGGTGAGACAGGTGAGACAGGTGAGACAGGTGAGACAGGTGAGGCAGGTGAGACAGGTGAGACAGGTGAGACAGGTGAGACAGGTGAGACAGGTGAGACAGGTGAGACAGGTGAGCAGGTGAGACAGGTGAGGCAGGTGAGGCAGGTGAGACAGGTGAGGCAGGTGAGGCAGGTGAGACAGGTGAGACAGGTGAGACAGGTGAGGCGGGTGAGGCGGGTGAGACAGGTGAGACAGGTGAGACAGGTGAGACAGGTGAGACAGGGTGAGACAGGTGAGACAGGTGAGGCAGGTGAGACAGGTGAGAGGTGAGACAGGTGAGACAGGGTGAGGCGGTGAGACAGGTGAGACAGGTGAGACAGGTGAGGTGAGGCGGGTGAGACAGGTGAGGCAGGTGAGGCGGGTGAGACAGGTGAGACAGGTGAGGCGGTGAGACAGGTGAGGCAGGTGAGACAGGTGAGACGGGTGAGACAGGTGAGACAGGTGAGACAGGTGAGGCAGGTGAGACAGGTGAGACAGGTGAGACAGGTGAGACAGGTGAGACAGGTGAGACAGGCAGGTGAGACAGGTGAGGCAGGTGAGACAGGTGAGACAGGTGAGGCAGGTGAGAGTGTCAGGTGCAGATTTGTTTACCTGGTTTCTGGTTCATTTCTCTGTGATTCCTGGAAATGTCCACGTTAAACAAAAAACTGACACAACGTTCAGCCTCTTTCTCTGTCACGAGAAATAAACTGAGTCCTGGTTCAGTCCTGGTTCAGTCCTGGTTTAGTCCTGGTTCAGTCCTGGTTCAGTCCTGGTTCAGTCCTGGTTTAGTCCTGGTTTAGTTCTGGTTTAGTTCTGGTTTAGTCCGGGTTTAGTTCAGTTTTAGTCCTGGTTTAGTCCTGGTTTAGTCCTGGTTTAGTAGTTTCTGGTTTAGTTCAGTTTTAGTCCTGGTTTAGTCCTGGTTTAGTCCTGGTTAGTTCTTTTAGTTTAGTTCTGGTTTAGTCCTGGTTTAGTCCTGGTTTAGTCCTTTTTAGTTTAGTTTTAGTCCTGGTTTAGTTCTGTTTTAGTCCTGGTTTAGTTCAGTTTTTAGTCCTGGTTTAGTTCAGTTTTTAGTTCTGGTTTAGTCCTGGTTTAGTTCAGTTTTAGTCCTGGTTTAGTTCAGTTTTTAGTCCTGGTTTAGTTCAGTTTTTAGTCCTGGTTTAGTTCAGTTTTTAGTCCTGGTTTAGTTCAGTTTTTAGTTCTGGTTTAGTCCTGGTTTAGTTTTTAGTCCTGGTTTAGTTCTGGTTTTGGTCACATGATGTTTCCACAACAGTTTCAGAAAGTCGAACCGTTATTCAGTCCCAAAAACGAGAAAGTTTCAGCTGAAAGAATTTTACACCAGAAGAGTGAACGAGTTTGTGGAGCTGATCCCAAAAGAAGGAAAAGGAAAAACATTTGTGGGGCAGAAGTCTGGAAATTTCTTTAAAATATTTGTACTGAAGCTGCTCTTGATGCTCTTGATTGATTTTATTGTAATTACTGGCTGTATAAATGTGTTTTTTAATGAGAGGAACCCTGCAGGTGTTCAGTGTGGTCTTGACCCTGTGGTCCATTTTGTTGTGTTTAGAAGAAAAGCCTTACAGACAGGCCCGGTCAAACAGAAGTAAACAACAAGGCCAAAAATTCAAGTTAAAGCATCTGATATAAAAATGTATTGAACAGATACATATGTGCTCTAGTTTATGAAACTGTTGACCTTTTTTCTGGACCATTTTTGGTTCTAAAGTTCCATATGTTTTAAACAGACCATGTATGAAACATGGAACAAAAATTATTTCCCAAATTTCAAAGACCTGAAAATCATGTAAATAAATTGATGTATTTCATCATATCTTGTGTTATTCCATCTTTGAACTGTTGATAAAGGGACAGGATTAAAAAAAAGTATTTAAAATGATAAAAATGTTCTTGGAAGGACTGACATATTTTATAGAAATAGTAAAAAAAAAAAAAAGCGACAAATGATGTAAAATCCTGCACCTTCTACTTGTTTGTACAATTTTCCCTCTGTTACTTTTCTCTCCGTTACCATGAACCTTTCTTAATAAAAAATCTCATGAGTCAAAAAGTAAGAGGTTTTTCAACCTAATCTTGTACCATATGGTAGAAAACTATATGAAGCAAATATTCAAACCAGTTTGTTAAGGATATGGAAGTGAGAACCAAGAGTTATCACTGTTTGGATTTATTGACCAAAAAGTGCTGCATATTTCATTCCCTCCGTTACCGACATGAGTTTTTACATTTTTTGTCTTGAACTTGAAAGAATCTCACAGGTTTAACTTGACCCTGTTGGAGTGTAACTCTTTCCTACATTCTGATACTTTACTTATTTCAATAGTTCCTCTAGTTTCTGAATAAGAGACATTTGAATGTCAAAAATCTGACCCTGTTTCCTCCGTTACCACTTGACTGGACCCAGATGTTCATGTCTGTATTTTCTCTGTGTGTTTTAGGAGAAAAGCCTTACAGGTGTTCGTGGGAGGGCTGTGAGTGGCGTTTCGCTCGGAGCGACGAACTGACGCGACACTTCAGGAAACACACAGGAGCCAAACCGTTCAAATGTGCACACTGTGACAGGTGAGGGGTTACACTGTGACAGGTGAGGGTTACACTGTGACAGGTGAGGAGTTACACTGTGACAGGTGAGTTACACTGTGAGGTGAGGAGTTACACTGGACAGGTGAGGAGTTACACTGTGACAGGTGAGGGTTACACTGTGACAGGTGAGGGTTACACTGTGACAGGTGAGGGGTTACACTGTGACAGGTGAGGAGTTACACTGTGACAGGTGAGGGGTTACACTGTGACAGGTGAGGAGTTACACTGTGACAGGTGAGGAGTTACACTGTGACAGGTGAGGAGTTACACTGTGACAGGTGAGGAGTTACACTGTGACAGGTGAGGAGTTACACTGTGACAGGTGAGGAGTTACACTGTGACAGGTGAGGGGTTACACTGTGACAGGTGAGGGGTTACACTGTGACAGGTGAGGGGTTACACTGTGACAGGTGAGGAGTTACACTGTGACAGGTGAGGGGTTACACTGTGACAGGTGAGGAGTTACACTGTGACAGGTGAGGAGTTACACTGTGACAGGTGAGGAGTTACACTGTGACAGGTGAGGAGTTACACTGTGACAGGTGAGGAGTTACACTGTGACAGGTGAGGGGTTACACTGTGACAGGTGAGGGGTTACACTGTGACAGGTGAGGAGTTACACTGTGACAGGTGAGGAGTTACACTGTGACAGGTGAGGAGTTACACTGTGACAGGTGAGGGTTACACTGTGACAGGTGAGGGGTTACACTGTGACAGGTGAGGAGTTACACTGTGACAGGTGAGGAGTTACACTGTGACAGGTGAGGAGTTACACTGTGACAGGTGAGGGGTTACACTGTGACAGTGACACTGTGACAGGTGAGAGTTACACTGTGACAGGTGAGGAGTTACACTGTGACAGGAGGAGTCACACTGTGACAGGTGAGGAGTTACACTGTGACAGGTGAGGAGTCACACTGTGACAGGTGAGGAGTTCACTTCTGAGTTATAGTTAGAATTATTCCGGCCTTTTTGAATCTGTGTGTCATTCTTTCATTTTTTTTTTCAAAATAAAATAAAAAATAAAAAAAATACCGAAAACGAAAAAACAACAATTTTCTTCATTATTTGTCTCCAAAACCAAAATTTAAAAAACAGATAATGGGCGTTTCCTGTTTATGTAACTTAAACTGCGATGAGGGATTACTGCGCGGTATACAGACTAAACCAGGACTGAATCAGGATTAAAACAAGACTAAACCAGGACTGAATCAGGATTAAAACAAGACTAAACCAGGACTGAATCAGGATTAAAACAAGACTAAACCAGGACTAAACCAGGACTAAACCAAAACTAAACCAAGACTAAACTAAGACTAAACCAGGACGAAACCAGGACTAAACCAAGACAAAACCAGGACTAAAGCGTTTTCAGTCCTGGTCCTGGTCTCAATCCCGGCCTCAATCACGGTCTGGTCCCAGCCTCAGTCCCGGTCTGGTTCCACTGTGGTCCCAGACCTGGTTCAGTCCTGGTTCAGTCCTGGTTCAGTCCGGCATCTCAGTTTAAGTCACGTGAACGGGAAACGTCCGTTATCCGTCATTTTTCTTTTAAACACAAAATCGAAAACTGAAAAAAACAAATCTTTATCTGTTTTTTCATTTTGGTTTTGGAGACAAATAATGAAGAAAATCCATCCAGTGACTTGGGGAAAGTTTCACGTTTCTCTTTCTCTTTGTGGTTTGTTTGTTTGTTTGCAGATGTTTCTCGCGCTCGGACCACTTGGCTCTGCACATGAAGCGTCACGTGTAAAACATCCGGACTTTACGCTTCCCGGTTTTGTTTCGTCCCGGATTTTAAACGTCTTTCGCCGGGACACGCCCCCTTCTCCTCCCCGCGGCGATGCTTCCTGTTTGAGGGGGAGGATCCGAGGAGACGGCGACGGCGGCTTCTGCACACCCACACCAGTGCCTCCTTCTGGCCTCGCTGTGGATCTTTTTTCCAAAGCTCCGACGGGAAAGAGCGGCGGACTTTTCGTGGGTCTGGGTGGACGAGCGCGGCGGGAATCTGGAATTTAAGGACCGAGGGTGAATTTTTAGAAACTGAAACTTTGTTCCGAAAAGGGACCGGAGACGCGTCGGACGGACTCCGGGGGCCGAGGGTTTGGGAACGTCGGGAGGTTTTTCCTTGGAGTGGTTTGGAACGGAGCAGGTTTGAACGGCGCTCGGAGGAGTTTTTTAAATGTACGCAAAAAAAAAACAAAAAACAAATCCGGTTCATTCGCCAAACACGGAAAGATCTTGATAAAGTCGAACCCTGACCCTGACCTTCCCAGTTTTACAAACATTTTTCTTTGGATTAGAAACGCGCTGATTAAACTTTATACCTTAGTTTTGAATCCGTGTGTCGTTCGTTTTTCAAAATAAAACAATATTTTCTTCATTATTTGTCTCCAAAACCAAAATAAAAAAACAGATAATGATTTGTGTTTTTTAAGTTTTTGATTTTGTGTTTAAATGAAAAATGGAAAAAAACGGATAAAGGACTAAACCAGGACTAAACCAGGACTAAAACAGGACTAAAACAGGATTGAACAAGAAATAAACCAGGACTGAACCAGGACTAAACTGGGACTAAAACAGAACTAAACCAGGACTAAAATGGGACTATAACAGGACTAAAACAGGATTAAAACAGGACTAAAACAGGACTGAACAAGAACTAAACCAGAACTAAAACAGGACTGAACAAGAACTAAACCAGGACTAAACCAGTCTCAGTCCTGGTACTGGTCCAGGTCTCTGTCCTGGTTAAGTCCTGGTTAAGTCCTGGTTTAGACCTGGTTTAGTCCTGGTTTAGTCCTGGTTTAGACCTGGTTTAGACTTGGTTTAGTCCATTATCTGTTTTTTTTCCATTTCCAAAATCGAAAACTGAAAAAAATAAATCATTATCTGTTTTTTTCATTTTGGTTTTGGAGACAAATCATGAAGAAAATCGTAGTTTTTTTCATTTTCATTTTGCTTTTATTTTGAAAAACGAATGAACGAACGCCACACAGATCTGTACGGTCTCTTGAATGTTCCACAGTAAAGCTTTAAACCACCGGTGCCCAAACTGAGACCTGCGGGACAAACTCGACTCTCTGGGCCAATTTGGACTCTAAATGTTCCAGATTGTGCTTTATTTGTGGCGGCGGCGCTTCCTGTTCCTGTTCGTCTAAAATCCCGTTTTCTGATTCTCCGGAGGCTTTAAAACGGCTCCGAAATCCGTTTAAAACTGATTTATTTTGTTTTAAAAAGAGAATCCGAGCGCTCCCACCTGTCCGTCCCACTCCGCTCCACGTAGAACGGCGCCCCCCTTTGGTCCGGAGGCGGAACCGCAGCCTCGGCGCGACCCCGGGCTTTTGTCTCGAGCAGCTATTTCCTGTGCAATGTTTTTTTTTTCTTAAGAGACTCGCTACAGCGCCACCTTCTGTCGTCCGAGGTGTAAGTGCACGTGGGTTTGGGACGTTTGTTTTTTTTTATCGGACGGCGGGATTCCGAACGAGAGCAGCTATTTTCATTTACGACTAAACGCGAGGTGGACGTTTTTATTTTCTATGTTTTGTTTTTGTTTGTTTTTTGTTTTTTGTCCCATTTTACGGCAAACTGACTTTTTAAAAACTTTTCGACGCAACTCATTTACATTTATAAATCGCACATCTGAACTAAAATCTGTGTGTAAAAACTGACAGTCGCCGTGTTCCAAACAGGAAGTGATCACGGTCTCGACTTTGGCTCCACCGACTCACTTTCTATTGAAAATCCGTGGCCCCTCGCTCTGTAACTGCTGCCGTCACGCTCCTCATTTTGGTCTTAAAACCTTCATATTAACTCGCTCTACGTGATCCTGAGGTTTTTATTTCATTATTTAGTTGGGGTGTAACTGTACAAAAATCACGGTTTGGTTCGTTCCTCGGTTCGGTTCAGTATGAGAAAACAAAATGCAAAACAAATTTCTTGATGTTTATTTGTGTTTTTATTAAACCAACAATTTGTTTTAACGTTAAACAAACGGGAAAATAAAATAAATTAGGGTGACCGTAATTCCGTTTGTGAAAACCCGGACACCTGACCGGGGGCTGGGGGGCGGGGCCTCGACATTGAACTGTGCACATGACCTCACACTTTCTTGTACAAGTCATCGTTAAATGCGCATTTGTGTTTCGTCACGTTTCAGACCGACCGACCGACGACGAGAGACGCTCAATTTAATGACCCCAATGAAAAATAATGAAAACCTGCATGTTTGCATCACTTAAAAAAAAAAAAAAAAAAAAAACCCCGGATGCTCAGGACAGGACGCAAAAAATGGACATGTCCGGGGGAAAAACGGTTTTAGTCCTGGTTTTAGTCCTGGTTTAGTCCTGGTTTAGTCCTGATTTAGTCCTGGTTTAGTCCTGGTTTAGACCTGGTTTAGACCTGGTTCAGACCTGGTTCAGCTCTGGTTTAGACCTGGTTTAGTCCTGGTTTAGACCTGGTTTAGTCCTGGTTTAGTCCTGGTTTAGTCCTGGTTTAGACCTGGTTCAGCTCTGGTTTAGTCCTGGTTTAGTCCTGCTTTAGTCCTGGTTTAGTCCTGGTTTAGTCCTTGTTTAGACCTGGTTCAGCTCTGGTTTAGACCTGGTTTAGTCCTGGTTTAGACCTGGTTTAGTCCTGGTTTAGTCCTGGTTTAGTCCTGGTTTAGACCTGGTTCAGCTCTGGTTTAGTCCTGGTTTAGTCCTGCTTTAGTCCTGGTTTAGACCTGGTTTAGTCCTGGTTTAGTCCTGGTTTAGTCCTGGTTTAGTCCTGGTTTAGACCTGGTTCAGCTCTGGTTTAGTCCTGGTTTAGTCCTGGTTTAGTCCTGGTTTATTCCTGGTTTAGTCCTGGTTTAGACCTGGTTCAGCTCTGGTTTAGTCCTGGTTTAGACCTGGTTCAGCTCTGGTTTAGACCTGGTTTAGTCCTGGTTTAGTCCTGGTTTATTCCTGGTTTAGTCCTGGTTTAGACCTGGTTCAGCTCTGGTTTAGTCCTGGTTTAGACCTGGTTCAGCTCTGGTTTAGACCTGGTTTCTCCCTAAAATAAATGCTAAGATCAATAAAATATTCTCAAAAAAAGCAACAAATGTATGAATTTCTTGTAAACATTAAACAAAACTTTTTAAAAAAGTAAAGCGCAGCACGAACACTTCCAGCATGAACTTTTACTCCGGCGGCGGCGGGGGGCGGGGTTATCGTTTACGTCACACGTTTACGTCCTGCTGCATTTATCTCCGTCTTAAGAGCCAAAGTTTTAATCCAAAAGTGCCCTCAAAAGTGTTTTTAAAACCAAGTCAACTTCACCAAACTCAACCGAATCATGTCCACGTTACTGTTTTAGCCTCACTGTTGCCAGCAGGAGGGCGCAGTGTTTTCTCTTTGCACTTAAATCGAGGCTGAATTTCATTAAAACACGATTAAATTAACAAATAACACGTCCAAAAGTGTTTAAAAAGTCATTAAAGGTTGTATAGAGGATTTTTTTAAGGGAAGAGAAATACAGCGACAGTCCTTGTGCGCGTTCAGAATTACTGTTGAAGTTTCCTGTCTAGAAGTAATTCAGCGACCGACGCGTCAGTTTTTAGACCCTTCGTCTGCTTCGGTCGCGCCATCGCTGGACGAGATCTCCAAGAATCACCTCAGTTTGGCTTTGCTCCTTTTCTCCTTCTCTTCTTCTTTCAGCGACCTCAAAAACGGACTTTCTTTTGCGGCGAACCGGTCGTGGATTCTCGTCCGCCGTCGCGACAAACTTTGTGCGAAATGCGAGGAAGCGACAGTTCGAAAAAGCGTCTAAGAACCGCTGCGTAAACCACGTAATCCCCGCGCTCCGACGAGTCAGTTACACTAGGGAGTTTGATTGACAACCTAACAGCCAATAGAAAATGAGGGAGCCTCGTTTTCTATTGGCTGATGTTTATCTGGCCTCAACACGTCCACAGTTGATAGATTTTTGTTCTTTTTTTTTTTTGGTCATCATAATTACAAAGCTGCTGCGTCTCTGTAATGGTATTTTAATCTTTCACTGACAGTTTGAAACAAAAAAAATCCTCCATACAACCTTTAAAGCTCTATCATGGGACCTGAGTTGTTTTTATTTTTTTTCTGTGTTGGGGAAACCACTTGTGTCTGTTCTGGGGTTTATAATGTGCTCGATGGACGATTTTTTCACAACGACGGGAAGGTTTTTGGAACTTCCGGTTGATGTTTTTCTGTGGCAAAATATCACCAAATCTTCAACCAACAAACTCCACAAACGATAAACATTCAACATGAAGAATTTATCCACAACGATCAAGAGAAGAAAGAGCAAAACTTAAAGGAAACAACGGCGACTTTGACACGCTGCTCTTATGTGATTAACGTTGGCGTCGTTTATAAATACGTAATACTAAAGAAAAAACTCAATCGTGTTCGTTTGTGGTATTTTTATTTATAAAAAAAGGAGAAAATACGTTCACTAGGAGTTCGCCGTATTTGTTTACGTCGCTCAGTTTTCTGTCGGGGGCAGATCACAGTGAGTAAATTTACTAATTTAATGAGTATGGAGAAAGAAAGTTTTCAGACATATTTGTTTGCACTAGGGACGGGCATTCCATGAAATTTTCTTAATCGATCGTCGGAAGAATTAACGATCGATTATCGATTAATCATTAACGTTTTTATATTTAAAATGATCATCATTATTATTACTATCTGCACTAATCTGCATAAATAAATTCAACTTTACGACATATAAACATAACGACTCTAGATCCACATCAGCTGTTTGACATTATAATGTGTTTAATTCAGTTTTGTTCAAATCTCACAGAAACAAAACTTAAAACCACATCACTAATTTACATAAACTAAGTGAAGATAAAACTCCAGCTCTTGTGTCGCTGATGTGGTTCAACTTGTGTTGGATTAAAAGACATGACTCAGGTGAATACAGGTCAGTGTGACCAGATTTGTGTTTGTCAAAACCAGGACAGCGTACGGGGGGAGGGGGGCGGGGCCTCGTCATCCACATTGAGCGACTCTCACCTGGAAAAACTTTTTCCCACTGGACACAGAAACATATGTGCTGCTTTATCCACTGTGCACATGGACTCACACTTGTCCCAACGCAACGGAAAGTGTGGAATTTCTTGTACAAATCCTGGTTAAATCCACATTTGTGCTTCGGTTCGTTACAGACTGACCCACTGTTTGTGTCTCGCTCCTTCTGATGCAGAGACACATGTACACACCTGTTTGGTCACGACACACACAACATACATTCAGTTTGTCCATTAAAATGAACGTAATCGATGAAATTCTTAATGATCAATTATCGATTAATCGACTAATCATGCCCATCCCTAGTTTGCACCTCCACTCAATACATGCATCAAGAATCTCGGACTTCCGGTCATCGTACAATTCACACTGAGAAGGATTTCAGGTCTTTT